TTTTGATGCAATTAAGGTTGGTAAGTTATTTATTTATATTTCAAGGATACAATTTATGCAGTATGTAGATCATTATATGAAATCTGCCACGCTTTAAGTGACGGGACCCCCTTATTTGGGACGGTCCAACCTGGCATGCATAATTATAGTTATTTTCTTTTCTACGTGTAATATAACTACGTGTCTGTTCTAATATAAACATATTTATTAATACATTCTCTTCGCGATTTTCGGTGTCTTTTTGCCGCTTGTCAGCACATTTTCTTCGTCATTTGTTGGTGCCTTCTCTTGGACGTTTGCAGTGCTTTCTTTTCGCCATTTGTTGAGGCGTTTTCGTTTTGGATTTGTGTCAGATTGTGTCGCGTCGTATCCGCTAGTGATGTTATTTGTCGGCATCTTCGTTCGATTTTGGTTTCTGCTGCTAAAATAGCATAGCACATCCAAGGACGAAACAAGGCATGTGAGTTGTATTTGAAATCTATGAAGGTAGAAATTCCGATGAACTTGTAATCTTCGATATTTGACGTTTCAGGTTTCTCTAGTAGTAAATTTTTTCTTTATTTCACTATTTTAGATTCTATTATGAATGTAACTGAGTTGTGATTGAAGGCGAAAATACTCATAGACATGTGGTCATAGATATTAACGTTAGATTTCTTTAGGTAAATATTTTTTTTTCAATCTTTTATTATTTTTGATTTTACTGAAGAAAGTAACTTTGATAGGTAATGTAGTCTTGGATACTGGATTAGTTTTTTATATTTCTTTTGCTACACGATTTAATTTTGGAACTGCTTTCGAAACCTGTTAAAGGCGTCAACAACTCCGATGGACAATATAGTCTTTGATACTTGACGTTTTAGATTCCCTTGGGTGTAGTTTCACAATACATTATAATTTTGGATGGTAATGCAAAAAATAGCGCGGCACAGCCAAGAGCAAAAAAGGGCATGTGAGTTGTATTTAAAATATGCTCAATATTGCAGTTTTAATAGATAATGTAGTTTGAATACTGATGTTTCAGGTTTCTCTAGATATGCATTTCTTTCTTTTTTACAAAATGTTATTTTGGATTTCGCCACGAAGGCATATAAATTGTGTTCGAAATCTGCTAAAGTGACAACTTCGATGGTTTATGTAGTATTGAATACTAGATGAGTAGTTATTTTTTTTTTACTACATAATGGATTCTGCTATGAAAGCATTTGAGTCATATTTCAACCTGATCAAGATTATAGTCCTATTGTAATGTAGCACTTGATACTGACGTTCTAGATAAGTAGTTTTTGTAATGTAATTTTGGATTCTGCTACGAAGATGTCGAATATGGCAGTTCTAATAGGTACTGCAATCTTGGATACTACCGTTTCTGATTTTTCTAGACGATTATTTTGTCTTCTTCGCAATTACATCTGAAATCCACTGAAGATAGTAATTCCGATAAACAATATAGTCTTGGATACAGTTATTTCATGTTTATACGGATAAGTAGGTTTGGTTTCTGAATTTTTTTTGTTTTTGAAAATTTTTTTTCGTTTATTATAACTTTTTCTTTGTTATACAATGCAACTCAGTCTATTCAATTTTATTATGATAGTAATATTCAATTTGAAATATTCTATCAACGTTTTTTATTAATTCTAATATTATATATATCTTTGGTAACATCAATTTCATTATAATGTTTCATCAGCATACCCATTACGTAATTTTAGATCAGAATGAGGAAAGTTGCTAACGTATTCATTTTGCAAAATTCC